TGATTATGTGAATGAATGGGGCGCGTCCGCGCGTGAGGGGGCGCCAGGCTGCCGCCTCGCTCGCCCCAGGGTGGGCTGGTCGTCCGCAAGAGCAGGTCTGGCCATGCGCGAGACGAACATTGCGTCCTTTGCCTCTGCTCCTCCTTCTGCCCTGCTTGCCGCGCCACGCCATTGTACGGCATCTTCACGCCGCGCGCGCACGACCCCCACCTCACCCCACTGAGGCTGGTACGAAACCTGTCAGCAGAAGGCAGGGAAGGCCACCTGCCTGCCGACGGAGAGAGCGGCCGGGCCACCGGGTACTTCTTGGTCCCGCGGGCAGCGTGGTAGGCGAATTGGGGCAAGCCCGGAGGTGGGACTTCTGCTCCCGAGCGAGCCGAAATCAAGGTACCAGGCCTCCTTGATCTGCGTGGTAAAAGGCCTCGGGGACTTTTTTGAAGATGGGCGCGCAGCCCACCGCCATCGTCGCCGCGAAATCAGCAACCAGGCTGGCTAGCAGAACGCCGAAAATGCTGCGGCATTCTCGGCGACGCCTGGGTTCAGCGCAAGCCCCCGCGGACAATCCCTCTCCACAAGCCCCGCATGGGGCCTGGGCGGCGAGGGGGCCACATAGGTGGCGGGCTGGAGCGCTCGCAAGCCAGGCTTGTTGCGCGACCCGTCCGTTGCCAGCTGAGGCTCGAGGTAATCACCCCCTTGCATCTCTTCCTGGCCGTTCGGCACTCCTACCGAGGCACTTCTACTGAGGCTCGACTGCCTCAGACAGCCGCGCGAGCTGTTTGGGGGCCAATGTCGAGGGCCGAGGGGTTGCCTTACTTAAGGCAGGCGGTCGTCGCCGCGGTTTGCTCGAAGGTCGCCGCTGTCCGCGGCGCGTGGCACAGCTGCGCGGAAGGGGCAACGGCCATCGCGGCCGCGCCGTCGCCGTGCGGAGCCGACATCGACGAGATGCTGGCACCGGAACGATCAGGCAACTTGTCCTCTATCGTGATGCGCGCCGCGTAGCTTGACCCGATCGGCGGCAGCAGGGGCTCGCCCGCGGGGATGCGCCCGCATCGATGGCCTTGTGTTTTTCCAATGCCTTGCCGGCGCCTGCCATCGCCTCGCCGTAACGCGGGCTCTCACTCGCGGGCCTGGCGCATGCGTTTCATGCTTTCAGCCGTTCGCCGCTGGCCGCCATCATTGGTAGCTCCGACGGAGGTGGCCAGGGCCTTCGGGGCCGTCGCTGCGCGAGGGCTCGGGCGGAACTGGCTATCGCGAACTCCTCCCTGATCTGGGCCCAGTGCTTGTCGCGCGATCGAGCAGCCCGCGATCGCGGTAACGCCGCGCTTGGCGCGGGCCGCGACAGCCTCGGCACCAGCCAGCGGTGCCGCGGCTCAATCCATGGAGCTGCGCCCCGTGCGGGTGCCCTGATACAATAGGCAGCATACCATCATGTATTTTGCTATGGGAAATCTTCTGGTACCATACCATAGGCAGCATACCATCATGTATCTTGCTATGTATCTTGCCCTGATACAATAGGCAGCATACCATACAATAGGCAGCATACCGTCAGCCGACGCCGAGGTGGTCGCAGGGGAAGAATTTGCCACCGCCCCGACGTCGCTCGGCTCGAGCTTCGGCAAGCGGCTCCGATCGTGATCCCATGCGTATCTGGGTCGATCCGCGCTCTTCCGCAACCCGCGGTGCTTCTCCACCTCGCGCGCGATCGCGTCGCGGAAGTGCGCGGCAGGCCCGCGGGCAATATCTACCGTGGGCTTCTGCGCGCGCTTGTACTTGAATGCGTCGTCGGGGACGCGCGCGCCGCTGGCAACCTCTGCAACTCCTGCCTCGCGCGACTCTCCGCAGCCGCCAACTCCGTGGCATTGCCGATGTCGCCTGCCAGCTCCGCGTCATCGCCGACATCGTCCAGGATATCGCTAGGTCAAGCGAGCCCGGCAGAACCCCCTCGAGCCTAGCGCGCTGCACTGTCAACTCCGTGGCTGGAGCCCTGGCCGACAAACTCCGCCGACGCGTCGGACAGAACGTCCTCCGCCAGTACGCCGTCTCGGGCACATCGGTAGCATTGTAGCGCGTGTCTCGCTGTGCGGGGCGGCCGCTGCCAACCGTTGCAGACCGCCTGGGCGTTCTCGCGGTCTTGGCGGCGTCAGTGCGTCTGCAAGGGGCCAGTGCCTGATGAGCGAAGTTGGCGGCCTGGCCGCCGACCGCGCCAACACTCTGCCGCGCCGCCTGCGCTGCCAGCGCGCCCCGAGCCCGCGAGAGGGGGCTCCGACCGATGCGCGCCGCAGCATGCCTCCCCCGCTGCCAGCCAATGCGACTCGTCAATCCACGAACGGTTGGCTCGGCGCAAGCTGAAGATGGCAACGGCGGGCATGAGCGGGGCGGGCGAACGAATACACGGGCCCGCTGTGGCGGTGCCGACGCACGCGTTGCGAGGCTCGGCCGCACACGGTCGCTTGGCCCGCTCGGTGTCCGAGCCGACAGCAACGGCTGCTCGTCGCCGCAGCACTGTCGAACGCGTGGAAACCGAAGGTGGCGCTGCCCGAGCCGCCTCGGCGAATCGCCGTCTGCGGGGCTGCGGCCGAAGCAGAGCTGCTCGCCGCAACATCGACTGCCTCCAGCTCGCTTGACTCGATGTTCCCAGTCCCCGCCAACGCCCGGCGGCACGTCGTTCTGGCGGGCAGCCGTACGGCAAGTTCGTGTCGTGTCGACCCCGGCGTTGGTTCCTGACACCGCGGGGATCGCTCAATCTTTAACGGGCGGCCATTTCCGAAGCGCCAGATCGTTCAACATCGACCGACTGTGGGTCGCCGGCGGCGTTCAACGTTGAACGCCGGCGGCGGGGTCGTCGCCCGCCGACGCGACGCGAACCTGCCGTATCGAGGTCGCCGACTGGTCCGCGTTCTGGCCGCCAGTGAGCAGGTGCGCGCTGATCACGTGGAGGCCTCCGGCCACCGCGCAAGGCCCGCCATGGCGCGCAGCATGCGGCACCGCCGCAGCTGCCGGCTGCCAGGGGGCAGGCGCGCGAAGCCCGAGGCCGTCGCGCGCGAGGGCAGCCGCGGCAGCAGCAGCTGGGACGCCTGCCGCAGAACGACGGGGCGGCGCCAGCGCTTCCCGCCCGCGTCCAGCTACGCTGGCTGCGCGGGGCCCCACTGTGCAAAAGTCGGCGTGCCGCCTACGTGTCTTGGGAGATGAGCGCTTCCATCCCGTCAGGCCTCTGGCAGCCCCTCCCCTTCACCCCCCGTTCCCCTTCCAATTCTCCTCCCTCCTCCCTGCCCCTCTCATCCTGCGAATCCTAATCCTCTCTCCTCCTTCCTCCTCCCTCCTGCTAATTCTTCTCCCTTCTCATCTCTCCTCCCTCCCCCCCATCATGGGCCTGAGGATGAGTGAGTGAGGCGCTCCCCAAAGCGGATCCCTGACTGCCCCATGAGAACGAAAGCTGGAAGCTTAGCGTGCAGGAACCTTATCCTTGCCACCGAGGTGAGACAGGAGGCGGAGGGAGAGGGCATGCAAGGTCTGGGGATCTCTGGAGCCACTGGGGACGAACGTCTTAGCCCTGCGCATGAGCACCACGGCCGCCTGTCGGGCCTGCCCGCCACCGCCAGTGCCGCCTCAGCCGCCGCCGCCGCCGCCGTCGTCGCCTCGAAATTCTGGCCAGAGACCGCCCCAGGGCCTCAGGGAAGGTACGGGTGATGAACCTCGTGTGCGAGCCCGGCGCGGGCAACAGAAGGCCGCCAGGGACGACGCCACGACGAAGGCGTCGTCGTCGTCGTCGTCGTCGTCGTCGTCGTCGTGGTGGTCGTGGTCGTGGTCGTGGTCGTGGTCGTGGTCGCGGTCGTGGTCGTGGTCGTCGTCGCCACCGCCGCTGCCGTCGCCACCGTTGGCGTGGTCGTCGCCGCCCTCAGTGCGCCGCCCTGAAGTCGGCTGCGCGCAAGAATGACCCTGGGCAAGAGTGACCTCTGGTGCGAGCCTTCCGGAGGCTGCCGGGAGGCCCAACACGAGCGCGCAAGACGCTGCTATCTCATCGCGTTCAGTCATCTGGGGACCCACGTTGGTACGCGACTTTCGGGGGCCGCAGGGAGGCCCAACACGAGCGCGCAGGACGCTGCTGCGGCATCGCGTTCGGTCGTCTGGGGAGCAGTGTCGCCCGCACCAAAGGTTACTCTGGCGAAAGGTCGCTCTTACGTGTAACCGAGGATGGACAAACAAAAACGCCATAAACGTGAACTTTTGACGCTCCGCGCGGATTTCTTGGATCCGCGCCAGGGTCGGCGCCGGAGGTGCCGCGGAGGGGGGGGCCCAGCGCGGATCCAAGAGATCCGCGCGGAGCGCCAACAGGTTATGTTTATGGCATTTTTCGTCTTCGAGAAGAGGGGGGCGCACCTGTACACGGCGTCGCCCCGCGGGTCGACGGCGGCGCCGCAGTCGGTGCAAGCGGCTGGCCTGGCCAGGCGGACCAGCCCGAGGATCTCGCGGGCGACCTCTGCGGAGCACGAGGGGTGTGTGCTGCGTGTCGGCTGGTTTTTCGGCATGACCTCGAGAGTTGGAGCGTCTGCACAGTAGTCGTCGTCGTCCTCCTCCTCGTCCTCGTCGTTGTCGTCGTCCTCGTCGTCGTTGTCGTTGTCGTTGTCGTCCTCCTCCTCCTCCTCCTCGTCGTCGCCCTCCTCCTCCTCCTTCTTCTCTTCATCCTCGTCGTCGTCGTCCTCCTCCTCGTCCTCGTCGTTGTCGTCGTCCTCGTCGTCGTTGTCGCTGTCGTCGTCCTCCTCCTCCTCATCGTCGTCGTCGCCCTCATCCTCCTTCTTCTCTTCATCCTCGTCGTCGTTGTCCTCCCCCTCGTCTACATAGCTCATAGCGCTGGGCCAATAGCGAGAAACATTCGTTTGCAACCACGAAGGCGCCAAGATCGGTGCACGAATGTCAGTTGTTGTCAAGACGCGATGGAGGTATGCGATTTGTCGTTGGCCGCAACGGCAAGGAAGCTCGGCGCGGTCAGGCCGAAGCTGGCTGCGCAGCAGCTCGCTGCGCCCAGGCAGGCGGCTCAGGGCAGAGATGCGGCGCCGCGGAGGGAAGGAGGGCGAAGACTGTCGTGGGGGTTGGCTGCGCCGTCGCAAGAGGTGGCCCTCGACGAGATGGACCCTTGGTGCGTGGCTTGCCGACCGTTGCATGCGACGCGACAGCAGTGGCCTGCGTGCTTCGGTTGCCTCCCCTCGCCCCCCCCCGCCCGGGAGCCCCCGAATGCTGCGAAACAAATGTCATTCTGGCGAAGGGTCACTACTGCGTGTAGTCGGTGGGGTGGGTTGGTTTCAAGACGGTGCGGGGACAGACCGTGCGGTGACCTCGAAACCCCAGATACCTCGCTGCACGGTCCAACATCGCAATGCTTGAGACCTTGGAGGCCCGAATCGCCCGTTCAGCCTTGGAGAACGGCGCAAGTCTCAAAACCGCGTGCTCACCCCGAATCCCGGGTCACTCACCCGACGGTGATGACAGCACCGTTTTGGAATTACGATCTGATGGATCCTGAGGGAACTGGGTCCTGAAGCTCTTGGGCCTTGCCCCGTGACCAATGCTTCATCCCGGGGTATGTTTTTTGAAGGTCCGGGGGCCAGGGGACGGCCCTGGGAAACCGACGACTGCCCCCAAACCTCAGGACCGTCTTCCCCCCCGAGATCCGACGCCTCGAACAAATTGCAACATCCTCCTGTGTGCGCGAAGCGCACGGGGCAGTGCCACGGCTCGCATGCGCTCACCCCGCGTTCAGATTGAAGTTGCGTGCAAGTCGGGCGAGCGGGACCTTACAGCGGGTGGGCGGGCTTGTCAGCGCGCGAAATGGCGGGAGGCTGTCAGCTCCCGTCCAGGCCCATGGCGTCATTTCGGTCTGGGAGCCCCTGTGGGAGCGCTTGGGAGCGCCTGCGAGCGCCTGGGAGCGCCTGGGAGCGCCTGAGAGCCTGGGAGCGCCTGAGAGCCCTTGGGAGCCCCTCTGGGAGCGCTGTGGATCGCCTGGGGGCGCCTGGGCGCGCCTGAGGACGCTTGGGAGCGTCTGGGAGCGCCTGGGAGCGCCTGACGCCTGGGAGGGCCAGGGACCCCCCGAGAGCGCTCAGGGACAGCTGGGAGCGCACGGGAGCGCCTGGGAGGTGAGGTGGGGAGCGAGCGCAGAGCCGGTGGAGGCAGCGGGGTCCGATGGGCTGGAGGTGCGGCCACTCGCCGCTGGCCCAGCAGACCCCGCGACGGGCCCTCCAGTTCGCAAACCACGGCCCGAGGCATGTGCGCGAACGAGGGGGGGCAGGTGACGCATTGAAATGCGAACCATGATGAGATGAATCAGAAGACGACGAATCATATTGATACCAATCACTATTTACTAATGCGGATACAAAATGGGGGGTGGGGCAAGACATCTGTGAGATATCGAGGCCCTGGTCATGATATCCACCCGCCCAATCATCACCCCCAAGGAGGGCCTCGGGTTCTTCAAAGAACTGGCTGTGTCAAGGGTGCATCAGCGCCTCCCGCCTCGCCTACCGCTGCGGGCGTCGGCGCTCGGCGTTCCACGCAGTTGCAGGAGGAGGAGAAGGAGGAGGAGGAGGAGGAGGGGAGGATGAGTTTGACGATGAACATGAAGGAACGGGGTCCTGGATAAAAGTAATCCGTGAACTGTTTCGCAGAATTTTGGCCTCTGGGTCACTCCACGTGACCCTGGATAAAGGAAAACAGTTTTGGATGAAGAGCTGGTCCTGGGGAAGGAAGCGATTTCCTCAGGACCCCTTTCCTTCATGGCGAGTTCGAGGAATAGGAGGAAGAACAAGCTGAATAAGAGGAAGAGAAAAAGGACGAGCAGGAGGAACAAGATGAGGGGCGGGGGGAGGGGGCAGGCTTGGAGGAAGCGGAAGGGGATGGACCTCTCCCACCTCATGCTGCTCTGCCGCCACCTCTTTCCTTCTTCTCCTCCTGCCCCATCTTGTCAATTCCTGTTTCGCGTCCACCTGTCTGTCCCTCTGTCCTTGTCCTCCTCCTCCTCCTCCTCTTTCTCCTGCTCTTCCTCCTCGCTCTCCAATTCCTCCACGTGCTCCTCCTCCCCTACCCGTCCTTCTCCTCCTCCTGTGCTTCCTTAGCTCCTGACCCTTGAGGATGAAGAGGGACATGGAAAAAAAAAGGAAACGGCGAGGGGAAGAGGGTAGGTGAGAAGGAGGGTGATGAGGAGGAGGCGAAGGTCGGGAAGGAGGTTGGGGAAGGGGAGATGGAGAAGTGGAGGGAGGAGCATGATGACGACATTGAGGGGTGATAGCGCCGGATGGCGACGAGAGAAAGAGCATACCGGGGCGGAGGCCAAACGCAGAAACTCAATCCATCATGACTTGCTGGTCTCCGCGCCTTCATCGGCCTGCTCAACCTCTTCCCCTCCCCGTATTCCTCCTCGTTTTCCGCCTCCTTCGCCCATGGACCCTTTCCTGCAGGGGTGATTCTCGCGACGAGGCTGATGTACCAGGCCGCTGAACCTAGATTTCAATGCGCCCCGCTACTTCACCCTCCCTCCCCCCTCATTTTCCCGTCTCTTGCGTTCACCTCGTCTCCATCCTCCTCACTCTTATCTCATGCTTCCTCAGACTGCCACGCCCTCCCCCGCTCATTTCCTCGATCTCCAAATCACGTTTTGTACAACGGGGTGTGTGTTGATGATGATGTTGATGTTGATGTTGATGTTGATGCTGATGATGATGATGATGATGATGATGATGTTGATGATGTTGATGGTGAAGGTGCTGATGATGCTGATGATGGTGCTGCTGCTGATGATGATGATGGTGATGACGAGGATGAGGGTGCTACTGATGATGGTACTGATGATGATGATGATGATGATGATGATGATGATGATGATGATGATGATGGGGAAGATGCCAATGCTGATGCTGCTGGCGACGGTGACGACGATGATGATGATGCTGAGGATTAGGATGAAGACGCTGATAAGGCAGATGTTGATGACGATGTTGATGTTATCGATGGTGCTGATGATGCTGATGATGATGATGATGCTGGATGTGGTGGTGATGGCGGTGGCGCTGACGATGCGGCTGGTGAAGATGATGATGGTGAGGCTGGTGAGGATGATGCGGACGATGATGATGATGATGATGATGATGATGATGATGATGATGATGATGATGATGATGATGAAGGTGATGATGGTGATAACCGAGCCCCCTGAAGCGCCATACAATATCTCTGACAACGCAACAGATCTAACATGGCAAACTAAGCATTCGCGGCCCGCGCCCCCAGCGGCCCAGCGCCTGGCATCGCCGCCAGGAGCAGGTCGGCGAGGCGCGCCACGAGCGCGCCTGACACCCGCGAGGCGAGCTGCCGTGCATAGTCGGCACCCTGCTGCCCACCCGGCTCGCCGGGCAGCGTGGCCACGTGGCGGGCCGCAGCCGCGGACGCCGCGATGAACTGCTGCGCCGCCGCGCCCAAGCGCCCCTCGGCCTCCGCGGCGAAAGGCCAGGCCGCGGCGCCGTGGCGGTCGCGTTTCCGGCGCTCCGCGTCCGCCGCTGCGTGGCCGACCAACCACTCCTCTGGCCCCGACTCCGCGGCCGAACGGACCGCGGCGTCGACCCGCGCCGTTGCCGGGGCGCCCCCGGCCAGCTGACGACCAGGTCCAGCCGCTCCTCTATGACACCGCCGTCGCGCCTGCGGTGCAACTCGGGCACGCAGCGCGCGATGTCGACGTGCCCGCCGTGGGAGGATATCCACTCGGCGAGGGCCCGCGCGACCTCGCTGTGATGCCAGCTGCGATGCGGCCCGACTGGGCAACGCAAAGCGCGGTAGCCAGCGACGTCCAGGGGGCGCCCGCACGCGCCTTGCTGGCCCTCCTCGCCAGAGGCCGCGTGCCGGGAGTACTCGAAGGCGCGCGTTGTTGGGGCGCCTGGCAAATCGAGCAGCAGACGGCGTCGGAACACGACGACGAACGCAGCATCGCTCAGCACCGCCTCGCCCTCCCGCGTGAAGCCGTTCGAGAAGGCGCCCGCGCCCAGCCCGCCACCTGCAGGCATGTGCGCCCGCCGCGGCGCGGATGAGCGACGCCAAGGCCACGTCGCCGCGAGGGCAGCCGGATCCCGGTGCGCCCGCGCAGCCAGCCACCGCCGGCCGCCGCGGGCGCGCCCCTCGGCCTCTGGGTCCTGGCTGGCGGCAAGCAGCGACACAAAAGAACCAGGGATGTCGCCCGCCTCCGCGCAGAAGTCGAAGACAGCTTCGGTTGGAGAATGGGCGGCCCACGGGCCCGCCTCATATTCGAGCCGCGCTTTATCCGTGAAGGCGATGCGGCCCAAGCGCACGCAGATACCGGCGGACTCGAGCTCGCCCCGCGCGCGGCCCGCTGCCGGCGCATCCGGGTGGGTGGCGAGAGGGCGCCCCAAGCCTGCCGAGACGGTCAGGACGTCCGCCTCGACGGAGGCGCGGCGTGCCCAGAATGCCGCCTGCGCGCGCGCGCGCCAGATCCATGGGCCGCATCTCGAGGCCCCCGAGGAATGTGTGCACTGAGGCGACGGCCGCGCAGTCAGGGCCGAGCTGCTGTCCAGCGAGAGCCCCCGGGCCCATGACCATGTGCGCTGCGTCCGAAGCTCGCTGCAAGGCTGATATTAGCGCCCTGGGTGGGCACGATCGCATATCCTGATCCAGCCTTCTCGCAACGCTCTTCGCCAGCAGCGCGCGCGCAGCGTGGCGCGCCCGCCCGGGGGTCGGGGCAGCAGCGGACAATGTCCAGCAAGGCGGCGCGCATGGCGCGGACGTCTTCCGCCCGGGCGCCCGCTGGCCCCATCGCAAAGCACGGCGGCGTGGTCGCCGCGAATCGTCGTAGCGCGTCCGCCTTGCAAGGCCGATCCCAGGGCCTTCAAGCCACCGAAGGACCTCGACGCGAGCTGGCAGAGCTCCGCGCCGCGCTGGCTCAGCGGCTCCAGCCCACTGTCGACCGCTGGCAGGAAAGCAGCGCACCGCCCGGGAACTAGGCGCTGGTTCTCGGCAGCCAGGGCAGGCTGCCAGTCGACAACAATCCGCAGCGTGGCGGACGCCCAATCGTCCGCAACGCCGATCGTCACCGGCAGGCCTGCAGGTGCGCGGCGCTGCTCGGCAATGACGTCACCTGTGAGGAACGCGTGAATCACGATGTCGAACGCGAGCTTAATGAGGAACGAGCCCTGGACGCCCCCCGTCCAGACCTCAAGGCAGCGCCAAGCGTCGCCGACGCGGATCCATATCCGGGTCGAGCCCGCCTTCCATTGCAGGGCCAGCAGCTTCGCCGGCGGCGCAGCTACCTCGCGAACGCGGCGGGGTGCGCCTGCCCGCTGCAGTCGTCCGCAAGCGTTCTCTAGATCGATCTTCGTGAGAGCCGCATTGTCGACAAGAGCTGCGACGAGCGGATCGCCGGGGGCCTCCGGCTCTGCGCGCGCGGCAGGCGCGGCCATGGCAGCAGCCCACCCGCGCAACGTCTTGATGTGCATGGGGGCCCTTTCCGGCGCGAGTCCAAGTGCCGAGGGATTGATCCGCCGCCGGACCGCTGCGGGGTACTTGCCGACAGCGATGCCTTCGGCAAACTTGACTGGCGCCTCCATCAAGCCCACAGGTCGGAACTTCCACGACCTGTCAGGCCGCCGTTTGCCCTGATTGTCGGGCGCGAGCACGGCGGCGCCCCAAAGCGCGGCGTCTGCTGCAGCAAGTCGGCCGCGCGTGAACACCCTCACGAAGGCTGCCAGCGCGGCCGGGCCATGCCGCGCCCTCGCGACGCGGAGGAGCAACGCGTTCGACTACCCGCATGGCCCCAGTGCTGCCGCCGCGTTGAGCTTGAAGGCTTCGCGCACGACGTCCCGCAACGCCGCGCGGATCGAGCGCGCCGACGAATCCGCCAGGACTGCCGCCGCCTCCTCCAGCGCCTGTGCTCGGGCCGCGTCGTCGGCAGGGACGTCCACGAGCGCCCGCGCGGCGTCGAAAGTGCTCTCGTGTCGCGGGGGGCTGGGCAAGCCCCGCAGCGCGGGGATTGCTTGGGAGATCCCCTTGCGGCGCAGTGCGTCGACGACCCGTTGGGAACGGGCATGCGTGGACGAGGCAAGTGGCCGCGCGGCGCTTGCCGTAGCACGCTGCGCCCGCGCGGCGCCCCGCGCCTGCTGAGAGCCCGCGTGGATGTCCAGCGGCGCCGACTGCCGGCCCAGCTCCGCGAGTTCGATGCGGCGCCGAACGTCAGGGCCGATGGCGTGCGACGGACGGGTGGGGTCTGGGCCCGCGCCATCGCCAGGCCCCCTCGGCGTCGGGCGCGCCAGCAGCGTGGGCAAGAAGTACAACCATAAGGACAAACTTCGCGCATGGGCCTCCGCCTCGTGACCGCGCGCCCAGCACGAAGCAGCGAATTCGCCGAGGGCCGCAGACCGCGCGTCGGCGATGCGAGCGACGAGATGCTGGCTAAGCTGCTCCAAATCCACAGTGCCTACGGTTGGGCCATTCGCGGCCACGGGCTCGAGATTGGCGGTCGCGTCGATGCCCGCCTCAAGCTGGGCGGCTGCTCCGGCGTCTCCAGGGGCTGCAGCGTCCGCCAGGGCAGCCAGAGACTTTGGTGCTGGGAGTGGCAGCAGCCCAAGAGCCCCGGCAGGATGCAGGGGCGGTGGCGCCGCAACCAGGATCGCGTCAGCGACGTGCTCGGCAGCGCTGCGGGGTGCACACTCAAAGTAGCCGGCTGGCGCGCGGCGGCGCCGCGTGTAGCAGGCGCCGCTGCGCGCCGCCCGCTGGCAGTCCCAGCAGAACCACATCGTCGTGCGCCGCTCGCACCTGGCCCTGCAATCCTGGCATGCTGTAGCTGTCCGCGCCGACCGCCGTGCTGCGGCGCAGGCAGGCCAAGCGACCGCATCTGCGCCGCCTCCAGGTGCAGCGCAGCCTCGGCGGGCAGAGCCGCCAGCGCAGCAGCAGCCGCAGCCGCAGCCGCAGCCGCAGCCGCAGCCGCAGCAGCAGCAGCAGCAGCAGCAGCAGCAGCATATACAGCCGCCCTCGGTGGCACTGCGAGCGGCGCCACCGCATCCCCGGCAGGCTCTGGCAACGCCAGCGCGGCGGCGGGCGGCGGCGCCCCTCGGGGCCCGGCGGCGCCCCGCGGGGTCAGAGGGCGTCGAAGCGCTCCTCCCAAACCCAGTTCACCTCCCCCTCCAACTCCTCGGGGTCGGGTCGGAGCGCGCCGGCACGAGCCGCCCGTCACACGTGGGCGGGGCCGCAACCGCCCTCGGCGCCAGCGGAGCACCCCTGGCGGGCGGGGATGGGCAGGCGCCCCATGGGGCGACACTGGCAGCCGCAGCCTCCAGCGCGGGCCATGGCGGCACCCGCAGCGATGCATCAGCAGCAGGCTCGCCCGGGCCTCGGGGGCCCTCTCCTGTGGCCGGCTCCTCCGCCGAGCCGCTGCCCTCGGCGGCAGGCGTCGGATGGCGCGACCCGTCCCCGAGCACGATCTCTAGGAACTGGATCCGTTCCTGGAGGAGGTCGTGCTCCTTGCGGAGGGCCTCGCTCATCTCAGCTAGGCGTGCCGTGTGCTCGGATGAGCGCGGGAGGTCTGCAGCCTCCTGGCGAGGCCTCGCCCCTCCAGCACCGCCGCCAGCGGCCGCCACCTCCCGCGGGCGCGATATTCCTCCCGGAGCTTCGCCGACACCAGCCGCCTCCTGTCTCTGCCGCGTGGCTGATGCGCCGCCGCTGCCGCCTGCGCCATCTCTGGGGGTGGCTGGCGCGCTGCCCAGCGGCGTCGCGAAGTCGCCTTCCCCCAAGACGACGTCGGCGCCTGCGGCTCCTCCACTGGGGCCAGGTGCTCCTCCACCTCCTCCTCCAGCTTCCGCCGACGCCTCCTGTGGCCCCGTCGCAGGCCGCGCCGGCGGCATGCGGGCCGCGCGGAGCGCCGAGGGCTACCTCGATGGAGGGCTGGGCCCCAATGGTGGCCTGACGCCGCGCCCAGTTGGGTGGGCCAGGGTGCGGGTGGACCCCCTCCTCAGTCAAGCCTCTTATCCGGCTCCCGAGGGAAGCGGCGCCAACCACCTGGCTGCCTGGCTCATTGGCGCGGCCCGCGGTGAGCCACACGCCAATGCACCAATCAAGAGCGGATAGCAGCCAGCGGGACGGCGAGGCGCCTGGCGGCCTCGTCGACCGCGGCCGGGCCATCGTTTTCGACGTAGTCGGCGAGCTCCGCGAGGTGTGCGGCTTTAGCGCGCAGTGCTGGCGAACTCTGGCCCGCCCAGGCCCTACCCCCGAAGAGGCCGAGGGGCGCGCAGCCGCAGCAGCAGCAGCAGCAGCAGCAGCAGCAGCAGCAGCAGCAGCAGCAGCAGGCCACCAGGGGGTTGGTGACGAGGAGGCACACAAGAAAGGCGGCGACGGCGAATGCCTTCCAGCGAGAGAGGCACAGGGCCTCGCCGTCGCTCCGGACGGACTCATCCATCCAGATGGCCGCCGCCTCAGCCGCGGCAGAGGCTGTAGCTGCTCCCGCAGCGCCCGCCTCCGCCGCCGCTTCACGGACACGCGGGTCCTGGGCAGCCTGGAGAGCCCACCAGGCGGCCCACGGGATCCCGCCGCCAGCCGCGCCCGCCCCAGCAAGCGCGACCAGCGCATGTCCTCGCGCGCCCCAACGCGCAAGGGCCATCCGGCGGGCCCGGAGGGAGGGAAGACAGCCAGGGAAGGGCAAGTGAACAGGTGAGGAGAACGGGCGCGCCTTGAGCCAAAATGCTGAAGCCAAAATGCTTGAGCCAAAATAATGATGATGCGGATGCTGATGATGCTGATGGTGCTGATGATGCTGCTGCTGCTGCTGCTGCTGCTGATGATGATGATGATGATGATGATGCTGATAAGGATGATGATGCTGATGCTGATGATGAAACTGATGATGATGATGATGATGATGATGATGATGCTGGTGCTGATGATGCTGCTGCTGATGCTTATGATGATGATGCTGAGTGTCTTACTACTGATGGTGATGATGCTGATGAGGCTGCTGACGTTGATGATGCTGATGCTGACGCTGTTGATGTTTGTGGTGAGACTGATGATGATGATGATGCTGCTGCTGTTGCTGATGAGAATGGTGACTATGATGAGGAGGATGGTGATTGTGATGCTGCTGCTGCTGCTGTTGATGATGATGATGATGATGATGATGATGATGATGCTCATGATGATGGCGATGCTGCTGCTGATGATGCTGCTGATGATGATGGCGATGATGCTGAACGGGAAAGGAGGGGGTGACGAGAAAGAGACAGATAACCAGGGTAACGCACATGATCATAAGGTTTGCAGGGTCAATGAGGATGGAGGCGGAGGGGGAACAGGAGGCCGAAGAGGAAGATAAAAAAGAGGTGAAGGAATAGGAAGACGGGAGGGACGGAGATGGTGGAAGCGGAGGTGGAGGAGCAAGAGGAGGAGCAGGGCTCCTATAGTCCCGCTCCCCCTCTCCTCTACTTCCCTTCCTCACTCGCTCCCACCACGAGCAGGGAAGCCACCGCGGACGGGGATGCTGGCCTTGCACCGCATCGGGTGGCCCTGGGAGCTGGCGCGGTTTTCCCAGCTGGGCCCTCTCCAGAAGAAATCCGCGCGATGCAGGGTGCCAATCCTCCTCCTCCTCCTCCTCCTTCTCCTCCTTCTCCTCCTCCTTCTCCATCCGCCTCCGTCCTTCCTCCTCCTCATCCTCCTCCTCCTCGTCCTCGTCCTCTTCCTCCCCCCTCCTCCTTCCTTATTTCTTGCTCCCCCTTCCTACCTCCTTTCTCCTCTGTCCTCCCTGCTGCTCACCCCCTACTCCCTCCAGCCTTCTGCCTCCTCCTCGCTCCTCGGCCCTCTATCCTCTTTTCTCGATCCTGGTTCTGGGCGCGTCTCCTTCCCCCGCGCACGCGGATGAACAGGAGGAGGGAGGATGGTCCAACAGAAAGGAGGCTTGTGGCATCACACGACATTCCATGACACAACGCAACTTCCCACGGCGCGCGCGAGGCGGCGATGCCTGCACAACTGGCTGATTGAAATCGAAACGCCGTGTCCGGCGTCGAGGCATGGCCGATGACCGAGACCGAGTGTGATAATGATGACGCGGAGGGAGGGGGGGCAGGAGGAGGGGGAGGGGCAGGAGGAGGATGAAGGGGAGACAAGGACAGGCAGCGGCATGTTGGGGTCGCGATCCTACCCAGTGGACGCTGCCGAACGCCTGCAGGAACCCACGGATGCAGGGCCCGCCGCTCTTCGCGCCAGCCTGCCTGCAAGACACGCGGACGGCACGAAGGCACGTCCGCACCTCCCCCTCGCCTGGGCGAAGCTGGGGTCATCATGGCAGAGTACGACAGGCGCACGGACGACGCCGCGGCCCGCCTTGTCCTCAGTCTGCCGCCCACAGTCGGCAGCCTCGTCGTGGCCGCGCTCTCGGAGGCCGCCGCGGAAGCCGAGGGTCGGTGGGCTGCCCTTTTCGACCGGCTCCCCGGACCGCCCTTGATGCGCGGTGGCGTCGGCGGGGAAGACCCCCCCCCGCCGCAGCGTGGGAAGAGCATGTGGGCTGGAAGCAAGCAGGGCTGCTCGTGCCCGCTGCCGGGGAGGGCCGAACGTCCTCGGCACCGACATGTGGCAAGGGGGGGGAGAGGAGGGCAGGGAAAAGGAGGGGCGGGGGTGCCCGCGGCCTTCCCCCCCCCCCCCACCCCAATAAACGGGGGGCGCTCATTGTGGGATCGGATCCGGACCGCTCTACATTTCTGTCGTGCTGCAGGGTAGAACTACAACGTCCGTTGCGAAACTCGACACCAATAGCATTCAAACTGTCCAGAGTTTCGAGCATCTCTGTTCTGGGCAACCCTACTTTGATGCTTGCCCGCGGGCCGAATTGCAAAAATAGTGGCGCACATGAGGGCTTCCTATTTATTGCAGCGTCCGTGCGTGATCCACCAACATACAGTCGAACACCTGATCGCCTAATGGCGCTCCGATTTGTTTCTGGAACAGCAAACCGCGCAATCGTGCTTAAATGCTTCTTTCTGCTTCAAATTGCACTATGATTTCTGAAGGTCCCGCACTCATCACGTATATCAGACATCCATATACAAGAAACTCGTTTGTTTGTGGTAAAGCCTGGTTTGTGGGCTGTTTGATCTGCTTTGTCAACACATTGCCTGCGTCTTCCAAAAATTGGTGAGACGCGGCCTCCGCGTACTACCAACTCGCAGCTTGCGTTGCGAGGGTCTTCGGCTAAGAGGTGTGTGCTGGATGGGTCACCTGGGCATCGACTCGCCAAGCGCCAACTGCAAACGGCCTGCTGCTCGCCCTCTCCGCCACAAGGCCTTCCGCAATCATTCAACGTCGGATCAAACAAACAAGCTGTTTGCCCTTTCCTCGCCGAATTCGCCAGTCTTCACCTCGGAACCATCGATATGTCCCTTTGGAAATCTGCCCGCATCAGATTGTATGCCTATTGAACTGACATTCCCTTTGCCATTTTGCTCATGCGCACCAGCTGGCCTACCTCGTTCTGGAATGCGAGAAGTTTTATCATCCACGTGCTGATTTGGAAAAAACAAATGTTGCTGTGCTCGCGCATTCCTTCTCCTGCCCGTGCGCTCTGAACTGAAGCCTGGGGGTGCGCCTGGCCTCCCGGCGCGGCCGCTCTATTCGTCCGCCGCTGTGACCATCTCCTCTCGGAGAGAAATGCGTGACAAGCGGAAACGGCTGCGTCCGTCTCCCCTGCCCCTTCCCCTTCCCCTTCCTCTTCTCCTTTCGGACAACGAGGGGACATGCTCCCTCCCCCTTCCCTTGCCCTGCAAAAATAAATCGGCCATGAAACCTACTGGATTGAACGTGCAAGCACTTCATATCAGCCAGGGAACGGGGTTCTGGTCATCCCCGCGGGGGCGAGGGAAAGGAGGAGGAGGAGAAGCAGGAGGAGGAGAAGGAGGAGGAGAAGGGGGAGGAGGAGGAGGAGAGGGTAGAGGAGAAGGAGAAGGATGAGGGGGAGTGAGGAATGGGGAGCGAGGATTGAACAGTCGAGGGAGAAGGAGGAGGAGGAGGAGGAGGACGGAGAGGAGGAGGAGGAGGAGGAGGAAAAAGGGGCGGAGGAGGAGGACGAGGAGGAGGAGGAGGAGGAGGAAGAGGAGGAGGAGGAGGAGAAGCAGGAGGGAGAGGAGGAGGAGGTGGAGGAGAAGGAGGAGAGGAGGGGGAGGGAGGAGGAGGAGGGAGGAGGAGGAGGAGGAGTTGGAGGAGGAGAAGGAGGAAGGGGATGGGGAAGAGGAGAGAGGAAGATGATGAGGAGGAGGAGAAAGAGGAGGAGGAGGAGCAGGAATGAGGAGGAGCAGGAGTGAGGAGTGGGGAGTTAGGAATGAGTGGTCGAGCGAGGAGGAGGAGAAGGAGGAGGAGGAGGACGAGTGACGAGTGAGGAGTAAGGAGCGAGAAGTCGACGGAGGAGGAGGAGGAGGAGCAGGAGGAGGAGGGGGAGGAGGAGGAGGAGGAATAATAAGACAAGGAGGAGGAGGAGGAAACGGAGAAGGAGGATGAGGGAGGAGGAACAAGGGATAATTGAGGAGAGACGAGCGAGGAGGAGGAATAATAGGAGGAGGAGGATGCGTGAGGTGTGGGGAGTGAGGAATGAGGATGGTGACGAGGATGATGATGATGATGATGACGACGACGACGATGATGATGATGCTGATACTGCTGATGATGATGCTGATGATGATGATGCTGCTGATGATAATGATGATGATGCTGATGATGATACTGATGAGGATGATGATGATGATGACGATGACGATGATGATGATGATGATGCTGCTGATGATGATGATGCTGATGATGATGATGATGATGATGTGGGCAACTCTCGAGGCCAGGGGGTCCCTTTTTGTGCAAAGGACACGGCAACAGGCGAGGACGGCGGAAGCATGCTGGCGCCATGCACCAGGAAAGGCATTCTAGAGCGGGATAAAGGGTGGGCGGGAGAAGCTTGAAAATGGTAGTGCGGCCCGAAAGAGAGCCACAAAAAGCCGCGGGCAGCAATCTGTGGGCAACTCTCGAGGCCAGGGGGTCCCTTTTTGTGCAAAGGACACGGCAACAGGCGAGGACGGCGGAAGCATGCTGGCGCCATGCGCCAGGTACTTAGGCTAGCCCATCACACTGGCTGAAAGCCGCATTGACTGAATTTGCACATAGCTTTGATCTGCTGAGCGACGTAGCGAAGCGAATCAACACTGAGAGCCATCCTGTCGCAAGCACATCTTAGAACATTGACGGGGGGCCGCAGCGCTTTGCTGCGGACCTGACGATCTAGAGATGGGATGCCGAGCTCGCCAAGATGTCGTTTCCCAGATCGACAACAGAGCGAGTCGGCAGGCGAACAGATAGCAGAAAGAGAACTCATGTCCTTAACATGCCAGCTCACCAATCGAAATCTCCTCTTTACACGGCCAGCAAACATACATGCATCAAAAGCAGCAGCAGACGAACACTGGCTAACGAGAGCGGCGCAGGCTGGGACATCCCAGATAAAAGACGCATCTGGATGACACAGCGTGGCAGGAACTTTATTGCTGCTACATAGTGACAGGAGGCGCACGTACTGACTGCAAAATAAATTCGCAATGTGAATTGATCGAAGCTGGGCACTAGACAAAATCGGCAGGCCGTTGGGACGAGCTATGCTACGGACAGCGGGCTTCTGAGGAAGCCAAGTAGTCGTGTCGGGCACCACCCACACGCACGAAATGCAGCCTGCACGGATCCAGCCTAGCACACGCTTCATCACTAAAGGATCTGTGATGTCATCAGTGGCCTGGCGTATCACGCTCAAGTGCAGCGCGCCGAAGCCGAGGCGCTGCAGCGCGCGAGCCGCGCCGCCGTCGCCGCCAATCACCAAGGCGGGCAGGTGCCTGGACCGCGTCGCCGCGCGTCTGGCTGCACGCCAAATCCGTGTCAGGCGGAGGCCCACCGCGCTGTCACTTGCGGAGGCGGATGCCTGACCGCTGGCGGTGTCGGTGTCGCGGCAAGCGGCCGTCGCAGAGAGAAGACGCCCGTGGTGGTGGTCTGCAGCATGAGATCGTCCATCAGCGAGTCCACCCCGTGCCCACGGCCGATCAGGATCTGTTCTAAAGTGGCAATCTGCTGCAGCACTCGAGCCCTCTTGGTGTGGCGGGAGAGGCTCGGGTCCGTGACCTCCTCCCTGGTGCGACGACGAGGTAGGCAGTCGTCGGCCGCGCCCCCATGCCGATCCTCTGTCTTCCCAGGGCGATCGAAGCAGGCGCCGTAGACGATCAGGGCCAGACGTCCGTCTCCGAGAGTGGCATCGGGCCTTGGTCGAAGAACGCCGCCCGCTGACAGGCGATAGGCCGCGTTGGTCGTCGGGTAGGTGTCGATCATCAGCCTGATGAACACTGCCATGCCGAAGAGCTTCCACGAACCGAGGACGCCCACCATGGAGGCCATCGCCGCCCGTGGAAGAGAGGGTCGCATCTGCGGGGGCGCGAGCTTCCGCCAGCCTGTCAAGGCGCGAGCCGCACCCGTGGACAGCGCCGTGCCCGCCA